CTTTCATTTTGTCGTCATTGTGCTTTCTGGTTTTTGTTAGCCATGATAAAATCTAAGGAAATCAAGAACGAACAACACGATTTGGGATAGGAACCGTCGTTGTCGTATCCTTAGAAAATGGTGGTAAACACGGACTCACCTGCCAAACTGGTTTGGATTGAGATTTTTATCGGGTATCAGGGAACCATGTGATTATAAATTAGACTTGAGCAAAACGGGCCAAAACTTGAAATTTAGCCTGTTTGACCGACCCATGCCAAATTCTAATTATTCTTTACTTTTAAACTTTCTATTTGAAAATAAGAAATAGTGAAAGAAAAGAGATGACTGCAATTCGCCATTTGCACATCACTTATTCAGGAATAAAACCATAAAAATTCAAAAGGAACTGAAAATGTTTATGATCGTTTTAATGTTTAAAATAACCAAATAGATCGTTCTGTTTAGTTTTTTACTAACAAATACCAAACGATTCCCTATAAAATACACTATAATTTGATCATTATGATATCAAATAATTATATAATATATATTTGAAATTATAAAAATTGGACTAATTGGGTTGGTCGAGGTTGAACAATTGAATAACTTTAAAATACATTATATTTTAGCCACTAAGATATAAAATAATAGCATAATATATATTATGACAGAGAAAATAGCTTGTTTTAGAATGACAAACCAATGATGTTCATTTGTTTTACTTGATGGTCAAATCCCGTGTAGGTCAGACCCATTGAACTCTTTTATTTTATGGTTACCGGTTAGCCCATTAGATACCATGCATTAGTTTATTGTTAAATTTTTTTATTTTTAGCAATAAAAACGAGTTTTGTTTTTGCCTTTTCATATATATTTTATCACCACGGAGAAATAAAAGGGCTTAAAGAAAAAAAAGTGACACTCTTGTACCCGTTTAAATTCGCATGTGTACGGTAAGTTGGCCCGTTCCACAGAGGAAAAAGAAAAAAATGGACACTCCCTATTCTACCCTTCCTACAAACCCTCCTGGAGCAGAGAATTTGAAATGGGAGAAGGGTTTTTTCCTCGCTGCTATTATATGTTTTTAATTTAAAAATATACAACAAAAGTACTTAGTGTGATTGGTTATGATCTTTGCTTTCCTTTAAAATGGTAATGGTTCGTATCCCAGTATGTGTCTTTTTAATGAATAAAAAAAAGTAATTGTGAAGACCAAAATGTCCTTCCTACTTTCACTCTCGTTGCAGGAAATTTGAAATGGGGCTCCCGTTTTTCCCTTCGGTGTATTATATTATGTGTAGATCATTTGAGTTGCTTCTTCTTTAGTTTTGTTCTCAGTTTGCCATGCCAGCAACCTCTTCGAACCGTGACTTGATATATACTGTCAAACTTCAAACCAAACACCTCCTAATGCTTCTAAAGCTTAGGTTACACAATCTGAATGGAACTAGTATCTCGAAACCTCAGGAAATCGTTCCAGACAGCACCAGTATTATCGTCCATCCAAACTTGACTATCAAATTTTGCAGCGATCTTCTCTGGCATTGTAGTTGTTCTCACCTCTGCTAATGACGGGAAAATCTTTAGCTTTTGGTTTATAGAACACATCTGCGGCCTCGAAAACTAGCATGTTATTGTCAAAATGCCACTATCCTCCATAGATTATCCATCCCCAAAAGCAGAAACACAAGCATGTTACCAGGGTCTGTAACTTCATAAACTACATAAGAAAGAAAACGTTTGCATCAAGAAAGCTATCTACACGATGCAAAAACCCCATCAGGAAGAAGATTACACATTACACACGGAAGTAAAAACTCGTACACACATCTACATCTCTGTAGTTACTTGACTAGAAGGCTTCCTCCTCTGTTTCCGACCAAACCTTCTATGGAACAACATCCTCATTTAGGCTGGCAGCAGCAACCATGGAAGCAGCTACTCCAGCCGGATTCGTCGACAGCGTCGGGTTGTTCCTCATCTCCGCACTCGTCACTCCTTCCGCATCCTCTCTCGTCACCACTTTATCCGCCGGCAACTTCCCTGCTGCATCCTGAAAATTCCCCAATTTCCCCTGAATTAGTTCCAACAAGTCCCCATCTTTCTATACCCTATAAAAAAAACCCAATTACCACTTAAATCAGAACCCCTAATTATACCCAGAGCACATCATTGAGCTTGATCTTCTCCTCGTCCCTGTCCGTCGCAGCATTGTGCGTCGCCGCCGACTGCGCCGTCGCAGCAAGCCCGCCGGGAACCGTAACGCTGCTCCCTGTCGCTCTCGTCTCCGCCGCCTGAATCGCGGCGGCATCGCTCTGATCCACCGGCCTATCTCCAGAAGTCCTCCCGGTCGCCTCCAGCGCTTCCCCAATTGTAATCGCATTCTGCGCCGCCACAACTCCACCGCCGCCGTGGACGGGAGCTGGCTGGACGAATTGCCCCAAAACCTGACCGCCGACGCTCTCGGTGATTATCCGGGCGCCCGGGATGTCGGTCTCCGACACCATCACGCCTTCGCTGCTCACGGCATCGGTGGCCTGGCGGTGAGCAACGAGGCCGGCCCTCTCGTTGAACGTCGCGGCGGATTGCATCGCGGCGGCCGGACCGCCCTTCTGGGTCTGTCCGAAGACCATGGTCTCGGCGCTCTGCATCATGTTGGCGTCTTCAGGGGCGATTGGCTTGGACGCGAGGTCCCCCGAGACGTCGAAAACGTCGCCGTATCTGATTGGATCGAGTTCCTCCTGCCCTGCCGCTGCACCAAATTGCTGCTGGTCCGGCCTTCTTGGCTGTCCCTGACTCATCGTATTACGAAAGGCTGTAGCTATTCTCCGTGAAGAGAAAACTCTGCTAACAGGACAGACTGTTGAGGTTTGGGAATTTGAGATCGATGGATTGGATTGGATTCTAGTGTACGGACATTTGGAACTGAGCTATATACAAGGAAGGTAGCGGTGACGTGTCGAGAGAAGGAGCGAGGTGGTGTGCCTTGTCATGGTACACGTGGCGAGGTTTGGGAGATGCATGATGCTGCTGATATTTTCTGAAACTGGCTCTGGGAATTGTCGGGTGGCATCAATAGTTCCCACGTGGCAAGTAGGGGTTTCTGGCTTAGCTATGACCTATGAGATGTTGGCCAGCAACGTAAATGAGCTCCCTCAGTTACGTAGGGACAGTTGGAAGTCAAAGGGCGGTGGCTTTTAATGGTAATAAAAGAAGTCTCATTTGACGAATGAGATTATGAGAAAGAGAGAGCCTTCTGCTTAATTGGCAACTCAGTCTCTGATTAATTGGTATTTAGTAATATAAACATCATGATTTAATTAGACTTCTAATAATATTGTTAATCTAGTCTATTCATTGGTCAACGGCTACATACAAAGTGAAAATAAAGGCTGATCCTTGTAGCATGAAATTCTAAAACCCAATTGTTTGATTTGGAATGCCTTTTTAATGAAATTTTGATTTAGCCATAAAAAAGTTCTAAAAAGTTGGTCTAAGAGTTCTATAGACCAAGGTTGTCAACCCGCGGGTCGACCCAGTTTGACCCTGACCGATGAGAAAAACGGGCCGCACACACCTGCCGGGTCGACCGCTATAAGGTATCAGGTTGGAGGTCAAATTGTGTCATTTTTTCCTTTGATTTTCGAAATGCGCCTATTTTCCGAATTTTCTTTTCACCCAACTCAATCTTTGGAATCCTAAGTTGAACATTTGAACATTTATGTTATATAAGTGTGTGAATTTTCATTATATGTTGGATCTAAGTACGATATATTATTTTGGTGTAATATTATATGTTATAACTCATATGTTAGATAAGATTTGATATAATTTATGAGGATAAGTACAATATAATGACTTTTTCCATATTTCCGGGCCAAACCGGGCTAAAACGATTGACCCATTAACCCTTGACCCACTAGCTCGACCGGGTCTGGGTTAACCCCCGGGTTGACAACCTTGCTATAGACTCGAGTATATTAATTAATTAATATATAAAAGTCTAGGTTGTGAGTTACTATTCATTAGTGACTCTCACACTCCTTCAAGTGCAAGTGAAGAAGTTTCAATTTCTCTTACCACATTTCTCCATTCTACAACCATTAGGTTTAGCTATTGTTCGCTAGGTTTATATCTATTGTTGATTGTGTTTCTCATAACAATAATTGCCTACTAGGTTTCCAACTCCCTATTACAGCAACTAACCACTAGGTTTAAGTCTATTGCTTTTTTTTTTACAAATCATCGTCTTTGTCTATCATTTCGCTTTGCGAGAACAGTAACAAAATTGGTCTAAGATTCCTCCATTACCTCTTCGATGATGGTTTTCTGAAAGTCCTTTCTTTGTCTATCATTTCGCTTTGCAAAAACTATTTACTTGTATTATAAGCATTTTTTTAAAAATTTCCAAAAACATCCAATAAATTCATCTAATGACGATTACAAGGATAATATTCGAGTAAAAATGAATGGATTAGTTTTAGTTATGATTTGTATCATTATATTAGTCATATGGTAGATTGTGAACAAATTTTGAAATTTAACGATTACTCCACTTCTAGACCAGAGGGCACATGTTGCACTATTATTGTGATACATGATAAAATACATATTTAGTTTACCGTTGTTTTTGTACATGTTGAAAATAACAACTCGTCCTTTTTGATTTGACACAATGTCAAATCTTCCCATCGATGCAACCGTAAATCACGAGTCTCATACTAAGCAATTAGAACAACAAGACTTGGTAAACGCTATTTCCCTAATACATACATCTACCATACCTTTCTCTTTGTTGAAGTTTTTCCCTTTGATCCCAACTTTACGCCAACTCTTTCTCTCCAACACCATTTCAATGCCTTGCTTGCTATAAAGCCATCCCAATTCCAAATCTCCAATGGATTCTCTTTCTTTCTGTACTTACTTGGTCGATTTTCCGAGAAACTAACGCTCGTATTTTCTCTCTCGTTCTCTCCCTCTTTGAAGATCGACTCGCGAGTGATCTCCTTAGAGGGAGGGAAAATACATGTGAGGAGCTAGACATAGAAAATGGAACCCCCAATTAGAAACTACCATACCCTAACTTTTCCAACATTCGAGAAGCCGCCATTGGATTCCGGTGGCAGCCGTCATCTTCGAGAAGGCGTAGGGTTGATTCTTTCTCGATGGAGGGCACTGCAATTGGCTGTTCAGAACCAATGGGGAGGCCATGATTCCCTTCAGAAGTCCCACCAACTAGCAAATGACGTCTTGTGTTGGTTTTTACATTGCAAGGGTCAGCCTAGCTACAACATTTTATTGTATTCTGCAATCTTACTTATAACCATCCTCGATGCAACGATTTGACTCGACATTTTCCCCCCCCTCACAGGCCGGCTTCACGTGGAGGATCTCGAGAATTTGTTGCATGAGAATCTCCTGCTGAATTTCAACACCGAGATCGAAGACGGCAGCATTGAGGAAGTGGCAGAACAGCTGATGGTGATGTACGAAGAACACTTGCACAAGAACCATTATCACAAACCCTAATTTAAGGTTTCGATAATACGAGTTTCAGCTGCTAGATCAGACGATGCCATGCGTGCTGGCCGTGATGATATCTTACGTTGTAGCAGGACGATTTTTTTATTATAAAAGATCTCAATTTTTGTAATACATGATGTCGCTTCGTGATGAATCTGGGCCGATCGAGTTGATGTTTAGATGAAATACGGCCGGAATGCCGGATGTATGTATACTTCTAAGGTGATGTGATTCATCTCTCATTGAACAAAATCATATCCGTTTAAATGATGATCATGGTATCCAATCCATTATAACAAAACGTCAGACATTGGATTTCTTCGGATGACGATGATTTACAGTTTATGGGGACTCAATCATTGTTTGGTGAGAGCACTGATATTAGCTACGAAGATCATTAATTGATGGAGGTTTCCTAACAGCCTGTTTGGAATGATTAAATTTATGGGAAATGGAATTCTATTTCCTTCTTTTGAATCAATTCTTCCGTTTGGATAGTATATTGTGTTGGAAATGGAAATCATTTCTACCAAAACTCAGGAAGTTGAAATCCGGCCGAAATTGGTCAGACTTGTCCACAGAAGCAATGGAATTGATGGGACCCACTACTTTAATGATATTAAATTCCCAAAAAGCCTGCATGCAATTGGATCTCTTTTCTCCTCAAGCCAATCTTGGTATCATTTTTCATAAGAATTGGGCCCACTACTCATAACTTTTACTTGAAAAATAAAATTCGCACAAAAAAATATAATTCATTTCCTGAATTGATGGAATTATACCAAACACAAGAATTGAAATTGGAATTCTAAAAATACTAGAATGGAAATGAAATTATATTTCCAATTCCATTGGAATTCTATCCAAACAGGCCGAGTTACTACTAGAAATAGGAGGAAATTTACCGTATGTCACCTAATTAATCTAAGGCTCCTTTAGAACAGTTTTGTTACCGTGTGGTTCGCAGACTTGCATTACCATTGTGACAATAGAAGTACAATCACAACATCATGAACATGAAAAAAAATAAAAATATTAACACGTCTATTTGATAATTTTGTGAAATTATGATAGTTAGAACTTTTTCTGTGCTTAGTTAATTTAATAGGCCCCGCTTAGTACCATTGTTGAGAGTAAAACAAAAAAACAAAAATAATTCGAGGATAAGAATGGTATGGTCTGGTCTCGACCAATATAATCCGTACAGTTTTTCAGCCCTAGAGATACATTTTCGTTCCAATTTAGACCCTGAAGATACAGCGCATTAGTTGACGCGTAATTTTTGGGAAACCCATTTTGTGTGTGTGTACCAGTTAGTCAACTGAGAAAATGACTGAGATTAGGGTTTCCTAAACTGTGCGTTGAGAAAACAGATGCAAGCTCCCCAATGATGATTTGACAAGGTTATGTTCTCCCCTTGAGATGTTGATTGCCAAATGCCAGGGACTAAGGGAGTACTGTAATATCCTTATCCGCCATTGTGCTAATCTGATTCCAAACTTTATGGTTGTTTATGAGAACCCTCCCTATATCATAACAGATAATAAGCTTTCTGATTCCATTTCCATCTCTGTTAAGAAAAATAACTCAATGCCCAATTGCCACCACCCGGATTTCAGTAAATGCTTTCACAACCACCTTTGATTCCTTCCATCATGCATTACCCCAAATGAGTAGTGACAATCCAACAACACTCAGTCCAACCTAAAACACCAGGCCAGGTCTAAAGTTTGTTCATTTTCCTATCAATGGCAAAACCTCTACCAAACCTCAATACTTTTTTTGGAAATCCCTCCATTTTCAGGCTGCAACCCAACCATCAGCAATGCTTTTCAAGAGAAAACCCAATTTCCCACGCAACCCCAACTCTTCATAATTGCTACCACCAACCTCTTGCCTGGAGTCTACCAATACTGAAAGTTGCCAATCGAATGTCCTCCCGGGCAACTGGAGCAATAAGGGAGGCATTCATCGATGGCAAAACCAACCCCGGAAGTAATATGTCGGCTACAAAGTCAAAGCAAGGGACAGCTTCAGATAGGAAAAGATGAACAAAAAACTGAACTGCAATACCACCCATGCCCAAGTCGTCAGAGTGAACCATCCCGTCGTCGTCTCGAAGGAGCAAAATCCTATTCTTCCTCCTGCGTTGTAATGTTGTGAGATGAAAGAAGCGAGTATTGGAATCTCCTTCTGTTAAATAATGAACCCGAGATTTTTGTGCCAATACAATTCTTCCTGCAAAAATGCTTCAGATAATTGTTGCTAAAAAACAGAGATAATAGCCCAATCAAAATTAGGTTTATTTCGTTCCACTTGAATAGCATCTTGGAGTTCACGGATTGCCCGAGCCGAGTTCGAAGTTCCTTTTAAGGACCAGTTAAAAAGGCTATGCGTAGCTGATTTCAAAGTGGAATGTAATTTGAACTGCGAAGTACCACCATACTACGAACTCCATCGAGATACCAAAATCTCCTCTGCCTCAGAATTGGAAAGCCAACGACAATCAAAATGAAAATTAGCCTTCGTTTTGGCAGCAGAGGCATGAAACAACAACAAAATCATCCTATGATCAGAACCAAGGTCAGAAAGATGAAGAACCTGCAAACGAGGCCAAAGCGTAGATGCCAAGGGAGAAGCAAAGCCACGATCCAAACGCTCCATAATATGTTCAGAAGGCGATCGACGATTAGACCACGTGAAAGGTGGTCCTTGAAATCCAAGATGCTGTAAAGAAAGATTAGTCGCGAAAGATTGCAGCGGGGCCAAAGCCGCCGGCGTAGGAAATGACCACCTTGCTTTTCCGAAGAACACATGAGACAATTGAAATCACCTATTACTAAGAAAGGAATAACAAGCGACGAGAGAGCAACCTTTATTTCATTCAATTGCACCAAACGAGTGCTCTCATTAGAATCCAGGTGAACAAACACCAACACAAATTGACCATAAACAGAATGAAAACATTCTACGAACATAGAAGCTTGAGACTTTGAGGTAACCGTGCAAGAGACCTTCGAAGACCAAGCAACTACGAAACCCCCAGCAGTATTTACAGGACTAACGAGGTCATTATTCGGGAAACCAAGACGACAAAGACGCGAAACAACTTTCTTATCACGACACTTCGTTTCACAAAGACACACAATTATCGGAGAACGACAATTGATAGTGGCAAGCAGCGCCTTACGAGCCAGGGCCTTGCCGAAACCCCGACAATTCCAAAAGAGAATAGTCATGACACCAATTGGGACCGGATTGGGCCGGTGTCCTCCACCCCATGAGCATTTGCAGCCAAAGCAGAAGGTTCAGCAGATTCCACACACTGAAACTTGGAATTGGAAGGAAGCATTTCCTCCTATGGTTGTTTATGAGAACCCTTCCTATATCAGATCAGATAATAAGCAATCTGATTCCATTTCCCTGTAAGTAAAATCATTCAATGCCACCACCCAGATTTCAGTAAATGCTTTCACAACCACCTTTCTTCACTCTCTCACAAAATTATTCCTTCCATCATGCATTACTCAAAAGTCAAAATGAGTGACAGTCAAAACTCAAAACACCTGGCCAGGTCTAAAGTTTGTTCCATTTCCTATCAATGGCAAAACCTCCAAACCTCATCCTTTTCTGGGAATCCTTCCATTTTCAGGAGGCACCCGCTATCAACAATCCTTTTCAAGAGAAAACCCAATTCCACACGCAAACCCACTCTTCATAATTGCTACCACCAACCTCTCGTCTTCACCACAGAAGTTCACCCCTCATAGATTAAATCCCTCCCAAAACCTTAGAACTTCACTTCCCTCAGGTCATAATTTCCTCCCCGCCAAAGAAATGGCTTCTGGGTTTTCTTCAGCAACCAATTTAGCCGCTGCAATGGCACTATCCTTCTTCATCTTGCTCGCCGCTGCTCGCACATCCTCCCCTGTTCCACCCTCGTCCTCTGCTCCACCGCCGCTCCCTGACGACGATGATGTAATCACACTAAAGGATAAGAAAACGGCCTATCTAATGCCGACATTGGTCTTGTTCGTGTTCATTTGTCTCACCTTGGCTTGTCTTTGTATACTGGGCGGCGGCTCCAACGGAACTGTTCTCAAGGTTCAGGTACTGGTGCTGCTCTGTTTTCCGGCGCAAGAACTCTGCCATTTTTACATTCTGATGATTTCTGGCCTATAATACATTTTTTCAGGTTGTGTTGTCTGCTAGAGCTGGTGACACAGGCCGTGTGCTCCGCGACATATTTGCAAACACTAACAGACCAGAGTCTATAACATCATCGAAGTTGAAAGGTTGAGATTGTTTGATTTCCGCTTAATAAATCCTCTGTTTCCAGCCCAAACAATTTGGCGGCTACTAATAGTTCGCAATTCTCTTTGCAGAGACCATAAATGCACTGTTGGAGCACCAAAGCAGCTTCATCTATGGCTCTTCTACATCCGTGAAAGTAAAAAAAATCAGAAACTGATATGGATCATACGAGGATTCCTTTTGTGTTTTTTTGTTTTGGTCTTACCAGCTGAACATAAACTGTTTGGCAGGGGAAGCCCTCGGATGGTTTTTGGCCTCTGAAGGGAATGGCGAGGGAAGAAGAGAGAAAGCTGAGAATTGAACGAGAGTATGTCTATAATTATCAGTTGGTTCCCAAGTTAGCGCCCAAACAGGACAAAGATTACACTGTGGTGAGCTTCTTCTTCTTCTTCAGGTCTTGAAAGGGTTTCTCCTTGTTCCTAAACTGGTTGTGACGCCATACACAGGTGGTGATTATGGTGCATGCTGCGGGTGATCATAAGCTCCCAGCGGTCAGTAGTAGCGTGGATGTGAAAGAAGCTCTCAACTATCTGGAAACCAAGTTGTTCTCCAGAGTTCTGGTGATTAGTCTCAACTGTGAACTTGTGTTTGAGTGTGCGATTACGTTTGATTTTGTCACTAAATTATGTTTGCTGTTCTTCTGGTTTTTGTTTTGGTTATGCAGGGCGTGGAGGTAATGTGGGCTTACCAGGATCCTTTGCGAATTGTGGAATTGCTTGATAGCTATCCAGATCTGAATTCCATCCTTGCTTGAATTGTGATGATGCAAATTAATTAATTAATTAATTACTACCGCTCTCTGAGTCTTTGTACTAGCTGATGCCTGTTCTTATAGTTGAGGGTTTATGTCAGATTGCTCTAACTGATAAATGAAGTAAGGAGATATTAGGTAGGGTATGCGTAGGATTTATAATGAGTATTAAAGTAATAGGCGGGTTGGTATTTGCAATTGTTAGAACGAATGAATTATATTCTATGTTTAAGTGTGTATATTTTATTCCAATATTTGGTAGTTGTGATTGCAGTTATTTTTTT